GCATGTGTCGCGTGGTGTAGCGACAGCAAATATGTCAGAGTATCGAGGCAAAGCAGCCTCTTCTGTTGCGACGACTAGCGAGGTTGCCAACAATGCCGTTTTCCCTTCATCTCGGGTGCAGAATGTACGCAATCCCAGCCTGCCGACTGATTTGCTGCCATGGGAAACTCCCACACTAACCGACTCTGGTCCAATGGCGGGAACAATCAGGCGACCCTCTGGCAGATACTCTCTCGTCTGCCTTCTACTCCCAGGAATGTAGAAGAGGATGCATAAAAGGAGAATTGTCGTCTCATCTTGCACCGCAAAAACATATTTAAGATGTCTACCAACATCAACAGACACACAGAGAGCAGGACGTCCAGGCGGATGGGTAGATCTTCTCAACAGAGAGAGAGGGCCTTAATAATACTGTGATTGCGGAATAAATTAAGCATTATGAGTTGCATTTGTACTTCACTTACTGTCGAAGCCACCATTTTCGTTAAACAGAAATCTTCTCTCTCGAGAGGCTGTGAGCTGACTCCTTCAGGCCCACAGGGGAGGACTTCCTGTCTCTTGAGGCCTGAAGTCATATGGACGAGCTGGATAACTCTCGGATTTCAACTCCATCCAGACAATTTCCACAGGTCTGAAACTTGCCGGGGACGACCGGCAAGCCCTGCGGCGCTCCATATGCTCATATGCCCAAACGAATAGGCCTACGGAGGCATATAGTAGACAAGGTTTAATCCATACTCTGCCGCTATCGGTGACATACACAAACATGGATGTATGCATACATATGAACATACACACATACAAACATCTATGCATATACATATGCATACAGATACATAAGCACATGCATACGCAAATGCATACTTACCCCCGTACGGAATGGATTGAAGTTGGAGGACACGTTGGGCTGGGCCAAAGGGGCAGGCAAGGCGCCGAGATGGGGGAAGATTGGCGGCTCCAAGGCGCCCCAAACCACTTGCTGGGGGTTGGTATCGGTTACTGTGGTACCAGAGGGTCGAGTGAAGGGTTGTGCTGCCAGATCTGCGCATGGGAGGAAGAAAAATGACGGATTTGCATAAACACTCCGGGGCTAAGGCATCATTACCTCATCTTGACGCAAGTTTGGCCAAAACTAACAGGCGCACATCGACACAACTTCTATTACTGACAGATTCGACTAACTGATCGCTCCGACGACGGCTGATACCTGTTCCTATTTTACTGCCAAGCTTAATTTGATACAATCCACTAGACATCCTCTTTCGGCTCGGATGAGCTTTCTTCCTTTCTATGATAGTCGTTCTGAGGGCTGGAACTTTACCGTTGAAGGCTTCCGGTTAACATTAAGTTAGGAAGACGAACCAGTCCTAATTAAAATGCTACATATACTCACAATTTAAAAAAACACTTAAAATTTATAGTCAAATACACAAGTCTTTGATTAATCTTTTTTGCTTTATTTGATGCATTTGAACACTTGAGTGGATGTGTGCGTGGGTAGATGCTGGAATATTTGAGTGTGTAAATTAGGGTATGGAACCACCCGTCATAAATCTAAGTAATTGCAATAAAGCTTAATGTCATTCCAGGGTAATTAAAGTTTTTTATGACTCAGGCTAAGATGGCGTAATTCTCAACGTCTGTTAGGCTAATGCATTTAACGGAAGGATTGAACGGATGTAAATGTGGTTGGAACCATAATTGAGCTGACCAGTTGAATCGTATTTATTTTATTGTGACATGACTTTCCATTTCGGAGGAGAAGTTGGTTGGAAGACCTCACCGGAAACTCAAGGAGGATTACAACAAAGTGAAGACTGTTGGACTGCGAGAAAAAGTTCTCGGCTCGCCGTACTGCGAGCCCAATGAGCCCATGCTAAGCTTTCGTCTGCACTGTGACAGATATCAGCAAAACTTATACTAAATCAAGAGATGAGGTTGGCAGCTGCAGCCCTAGCCTTGAGATCTTAATGATTTGGTCGACTACCTGAAACTTATGAACCGGAAGTGGATTCTATAGCAGCCGCTTCCTTACACAAATAAATAAATTAGCCTCGGATCTTCTAACGTTGATTCATGTTTAGGTATGTTCTATGTGTGTGTGTAATGTTAATGCCATGGAAGGTGTGACAGTCCTAGCTCGACTTCATGCTAATCCAGCCTTCTCTTGTTCAGTAGTTCCTCTTGCTCTCTCTCTCCCTCTCCTTAAGCCTATCAAACAGCTATAAAAGTTTTCTCAACTTATGTCACAATAAGTCACTGATAAATTCCTCGAAATTCAGTTTATCTTCATATCTTCGCATTTCTTCTATCGGTGACTCTACCATTTCTTAATAAAATCATACGACTGCAATACAACGGGGATCATCCATCTTCTTTTAATGGGATCCACATACGAAGCTCTCCATCATTCATTTTTACAGAAGGTAGAAGTGAACATAATAATTTTATCTTATTCGACTGAGCAAATTCAGCTAGATTTCACATGTATATCACTGATTACTAACAGGGTAGTAGTAACGTGTCGCCCTGAGGCATAAGAATACAGCGACCTTTCAACACAAAGACGTGGTGTGCTCGAAAGCTTAAAGTTTCGGCACCAAGTATCAAGGCTTAGACGAGGGAGTGGAGTCGGCAGAATATCCATTTTCTCTTTGGACAAATTGTAAACTTTGTAAAGGAGGGGAAGGAGGGCAAACAGCCTTCGTATAAGAGCAGTATTAATCCTATTTTGTTTAAGGTGATAAAGAAATAATAATAAAAATTTCCCACAATCGTATGAGTAGGCCACATGTTTCCACAGAATTTCACATCCAGACTGAAGTGGGCAGAAGCTTCAGCATCACCTGAACTGGTCTCATCAGCTCATCCGGCTGGACTCGAACCCAGGTTTGGGTAGTGCAAAGTAAAGCCTCGACGCGATGGCCACTATGCCACACTGCTACAAGTGACCTCGGGCCACAGAGCAGGAGTGAATTTTGCATCATTGTGGGAAAATTCAACATATGACATATATGATTTACTGGTAGCTTTGAAAACCAAGTTAAAAATGTAAAAAGCTTTACATGTTTGGCCAAAAAATGATACCGCTTCCGATGCCTCTACTTTCTTATAGGCCTCAAACTGTATCTTTTTTAACACTATGTAAATGGACAATAGGCTCCAACGCATGTCATAGGTGGGGCACGGGAGTGTGTCCAAAGAAGAGATTTATGGGTCGATTGGATAATGTCTGTCAGGCGACAGATGTAAAAAAGTGGTTTTACCTCGTTTTTGAAACCTGTTCGTATTGTCAGAATGTACCAAAAATTATCATGGATACTACGACAGAGGCCTGTGGACAAAGTGTCCTCTTCTCTGTCCCTCTGAAAATATGACTAAATTGCGAAAACGAGGTCAAACCACGTCTGCACAGCAGATGAAGGCTGTGACCATACTCAAGGCAGCAGCATCTTGATCTTTGCACCGTCAACAGATGTACATTGTGGAGACCGCAGTCGTATTAGGCTCAGAAGTATCATTGAAAAACAGCTATGCTTCGTGTATCCATGCTGTAGCTGACCTGCCTACTTGATCCCAGGTCGCTTCAACTGAAACCTGTATCTCCGTTTGGCCGAGATTCTCGCGGTATTTGCTCTCGGCTAAATAACCATGAGTCCTATATGATTCTGCAGAGGTCTAGTTGATTGCAGGTCAACCAGCCCATCTGCTTATGAACGACCGGATATCATTAACCATTATTTGGTGCTACTTTGCGCCGGACCATTTGTTTACAGATACATAAGATACAAAACTGCGCACAATACGCAATAAAAATGATATAACACAATAT